TTTTTTTTTTATATAAAACGAACAGTAATGTTGACCGTGTACTTTATCACGGGAAACATATAAATTAAAAGTATTGTACGGTGAACGCGTTATAAGGTCGACTTATGTGTTCGAATATTAATTCAGACGTTACGCGAGGTCTAAAATATGTTTTTTTATTTTTTAAAGTCATGTTTTATTTTAATAAAAAAAAAAATGTGTATTCGTCGTGCACGCATATATTATGTATTCCATATAATAATAAATGATGATTATAATAACATAGCTGAACATCTTAATGGATCTATTATTGTGAGAAGCCCCAGGTGTCGATTGATATCATTTTGCGCTTGACGACTTCCGAACAATTTCAGGCGATTCGTGTTCTTAAAACATTTAAATTATCTGATGTTATTTTCATAATGATACGCGACTTTCGACGGGCTATTTTAAAGTGTGCTAAAATACTACAGAGAGGCGGTCTATTCATTCAGTTTTGTAACACGTATAAACTGACCCACCAGAGCAACTCGATAAACTTGTAAAAGTCAAATCAATTAATGTGCACGCGTTAATTTTCAACACAACATATCGGTTTTCTTAGTTAATTTTTTTCTACTACGTTTTATTCGCGTTGAATAAAACTATTTTTAATACTTTTCCTTCTTCAAAATGTTATATTATTTTTTTCCGCCAAGTAAAAAACAGTCGAATGTGACTAGTCAGCGCCAAAGAAACAGGACTAGCAAATTGCTACTTAATATTGTTATTGTATAAAGATAGACGAAATTGTCTGTACTAATTCCTCTAAACATTTTTGTCGTGCGATTTATATGATATTTACACGCGTTACTGTGTTCTAATGATTGATCGTATAGAATTTTAGCGGGTCATTAACCTTTATGAATTGTATGTTAAAATGTTCAAAATTGTTTTATATATTATTTATAACAAAAAAAACTAATACATCTATTTACAGTAACTACATTTCAAGCCAATAATATAATAATATATACATGAAGGAAAAACTTATTTTATTTAAAACTTCATTTTACCTTATTGAGTTTCTCTTAAATATTACCAATAGTAAAATTGCCAACCCAAAAATGTTTGGTGATTAAATGTATTACTTATAACTTTTGAACTATTCTTGTAATCTAGTACACTATTTATTTTCTATGTATTACTCTTAACTAGTGACGAGTCTTTATACTTTGTGCTACATACATCTGTTAAAGGTATATTGTGTCTTAGTGATATTTATTGATTTTGAAAAATCTTAGAGTTAAATGCAAATTATTTTGCCGTTGTTGTATACAAGGCCAGTGTGTTAATTAAACACAATGTCACAAGTAAAAAACTGTACAAAATACAACAAATACATAATTTATGTCGAGACAAATTAAAAAATTCAGCGCGCACTTATGCTAAGCTTTGAATATAATATTTGGTTAGAGCTTACATTTTCAATGTTCGATAAATTGCATTAAATTTATTAGATAGGAAGATCTTACAATAATAAATATTCAACGAAAACAATTTTAATTAAGTTAATTGTGAAGTAACGACGCATCATTAAATATGACATTCATTTTAGCTTAACAAATCGATGGGACCCTGTCAATATTGACCAACCTTATCTTTATTGACCCTAAGATCAATACAGTCAGGTTTTTAGGAAGTGAAATGATGAGTAACTGGGTATTTTACTTGGTGACACGATTGGATTTATAATTTTTAATGAATCATCAACGTTAGCTGCTAGATGTAATACTTAGACGCATAAGATATTGTGCAAAAAATCTTATCAAACATTAAAAAGTCTAAGTCTAATCCATACGATAGTGATGTATTTAAAAAAAAATGTCTAGTTAGTTTAATAATATAAAACAAAATTAGTTTTAATTTTAATAGAACTACGCAGTGGGGTATTAAAGGTTTAGGCCCCGGGACAGTTTGTATTTAACGCTTCTTGAAATATTTTGTTAAAAAAAAAAAGTTTTTTTCAGTTTAGAAAATTTTTTTGCTACCCCACTGCATATAACCTTTAAATATCTCACACTTAGAAACTTGGAATATACATAAACGTAAGAATATAAATTATAAATAACATTATATAAATTTTTACCGGTGTTTTATTTAGTGTTCATCACCTAAGACGTCTCCAAAAGTTTCGCTGCGCTCTTAGGCAACTTTTTTATTTTTTTAAGATCGGCATTGTTTTAGGACGACGCTCTTGGGTAACTGCCCCACGTAGAAACGACATTGGGTCTAAGAGGCGATTAACACACTTGGCGATATAAAACTCTTAGTCTAAGCCAACGTTCGTTTGATTCTTAGCTGACATCCTGTTGAAAATATATAAGTTATGATGTTATTCAAAACAAATTATTATTTTCAATTTTTTTGACTAGTGTTTAATTGAACAGTGAAAATAATTTATTTGCAATTTTTTTGATCCTAAAATTTTAAATGATTCAAACAAAGAACAATTATATTTCTCACGCACGACGACAATCACCATTGATATGTGACTCAATTAAAATAAATACGTTTTTCTTTAATTAGTAAAACGGTGTTTGTTTTTCGGTATTATTTTTGTATTTTTTGACAATTTTTCTGATGAAAATTCTATATGAACGTGGTTGAATTAGACGTCACACGATCATTAAAATGTGTAATTATCACGAGGGAAACAACCGAAATTATCGATCAAAGCCATCGCATCAAATGGTTCGTTTTAAGAGTTTACTTTCTTTTGATTTATATTGCGCCGTGTTTGGATAGTCGTCTGGAAGTGCCCAAGTATGTGATTATGTGGACCGTTCGCCAAGGTCAGTCATTGATTCGGACGTTATGTTTTGTATGATGCGCCGGTATCAACAGCCGAATTTTGCAAAACCGTAAAAAAGCAAACCGGCTTCTATTCAATTGTCTTGTACTAGAATTCCTCTTTTCCGTTCAGAGATGCTGATGGGCAGATAATTTGGTCCTAGATGAATGTTGGGTAAACAGCCGTCCGCTATAAATCAATCAGATTCGCTTGGGTAGTTTATTACCCAACGTATAACATATATGCGAAACTGGATCAACCGAAATCCAAAGCTACTCGTGTAATCCTCGAGAAATATGATTTTCTACAGACGTCCGTTTATTTTTTTACCGTCGTATCTTTCAATCTGAAGATCGCACGTTCACGAGGTACGTTAAAAATGACATTGTTTCGTCTTGGCCGCTGTAAATTGTGTAAAAATTCGCATGTAAATATCTCCGCGTTCCTAAGTGTGCCTTATTCACGTTCATTGTGTTTTTGGTAGGTCATACATAACTCGTAAAAAAGTGGCCGTCGTAAATTCTTACTGCCTGTAACGCCACTAAACTATTAAATTAACATAATTGCGGTATTTTTAAAGCCTCTGCGTTTTAGGTATTTATTTAATATTGCCCGACAATAAAATGATTCTATTTGCAAACACAGGCGGAGTCAGACTTAAAAAAAATGTTCGACGTCCAGACAACAGCAAACGTTCACGTGTAGAGAACTTTGTTTGCTCGAAACACAGTCCATCTTGTTGAGTGTAAAACATAACAACATTCTGTTATGGTTTCGAAATTTGCATTAACACCTTGAGAACAACTGTAGACTATGTTATTTATTTAGAATTATGAAACAACTGACCCGCGTCGTATTAAATTATACTATTCAATTAAATCGGCGCCAATAAACGCAATCATTTATACGATTAAATTCATTTTTTATATAGATTATTGATTATTTACCGCATCGTTTTTTTTTCTTTAATTAATTGTTATTTGCAGCGACCGTAGACGAATCTTCTCTCAGGTTTCGTTTTACACTGCACAAATGTAAATTATTTCATCGCGTTGAACGTGTTCGCTCCAATACGTGTTACTTTGTGTGGATACTGTTAAACGAATTAATCTTTAAATATAAAGAACGTTTCATTTATATCTAATTTCTGTCTATAAGCCAATTGCATTATTGTCTCAGCTCACAACTAGTTTATTTGAATACACTCCAGAGTATGTTAAAAAATATTTTTCACGCCTCTCGTTAGCGTTTGGATAATTTTGAACTAACCATTGACTTCGAACTTTAACAAAATCAAGCAGAAATAATTCAGGTGAAACGTTGTGTTTTAATTAAAAATTACTATGTATAGATGTATCGGGTTTTCTTTTAATACTTGCATTCATTATTAACATGTCAGATTACAGATTGGGAACACGAATATTTCATCCATTTCGTATAGGTGTTTTATATCTGTATTTTTTTCGCGCCGTTTTTGTACATACTAATTGGATTACAAATATATATATACATGTATATACTTTGAACCCTATTTTGTGTATAGTAACTTCTAGAATGATATTTGGAATGAATGGAAAAGTTTAATGCGTAAGACGACCCCGTCGCATCATCTGATATGTAAAATATCTGATATGTAAATTGCAAAATAAAAACCAAGTCTCAACACGTGTTTTTTTATAAGCTCACATATGTGAATAAATCATTGAGAACATATTTTGAGAATCGCTTTCTACAAGTATACGTTTGAAAGAGTTGCAGACATGATAACGTTTCGACTGCAATGTGTATTATATTTTCCGATTCCGCGGGGGGAACTTACACACAAGTGCGTCTAAAAAAAGTGTATTAATTCCGAACGTAGTTTATGTGCCCCCTGCAGTTATAAACATCTAATACGTTGGC